CACCAATCTGTTCTCACAGTGACCAACTTGCTGCACAAGGAAGCCCACTAGTCTCCCAGTAGATGGCCTTCAAAGACACTCACATTGCGATCAAGGCTAATAGCCATTGATCCCCATGAGTTTCATGAATTGGTCCAATCCTGTTTTGAAGCCAGCCAAGCTGGTGGCCAACAGCAGATTTTGTGATAAAATCCCAAACCATTCAATTTTGATAGGGTTGAGTCAAAAGCCGTTGTTCCCCATTCAGGCCTTCACAGCCTCCAGAACCCAGAGTGGAGATATACAATTATTTATACTCAGCATACTGATGAAACCTCACTCTATGGTGTCGAATGACCTCAACCAGTGACTTCATGTACATGCTAAATAGAATGGGGAGAGCACTGAATTACAAGGGGGCATGGGCTTCCCATGAACACCAACTGGAACTGAACCTGGAGGAAGGAGGAGAACCATCACAATACTGTGCCCCCAATTGGAACTGGTCAATACCATGATTGATACTGTGATTAATGGTATTGAAAGCTGCTGAGAGATCAAGGAAAGTAAGGATGGATGCACCACCCCCATCCCACTTCTGCTAGAGGTCATCCACAAGTGCTATCAATGCTGTTTTGGTCCCATGCCCGGACCTGAAACCTGACTAAAAGGGGTCCAAATAATCCACTTCCTCCAGGACTCTCCAAAGCTGCAGTATGACCACCTGCTCAACAACCTTCCCTAAAATCATTAAGCCACTGTGTCTGTTGCACAAGGTAAAGTATCATCAGCTTTAAATGTAGTCAGTACTGTTTGGGATAATCAAAAAGGTTACATGTCAAGTATAAAAAAACCCAATTAATGACCACAATTGGGACCAGTAAATCCATCACTAAGTGCTGCAGTCGCTAAGCAAAACATCACGTGACCACGACAGGCTTACAACTTCATTTCCCCTTTGGTCGTTAAGCGAAGCACTGAGGTTGTTAAGTGAAACGTGGCTGTGAATTATGATTGTACTTTTGCCTTCTCTATTAACTCTGCTTTTCGCAAGCCAGTTGCAAAGCACACAAAAGGTGACCACGTGACTTCAGGACGCTACAACAATGATAAATGCAAGGATTGGTTGCTAAACGAGGCACTCAATAAATGAGGACTACCTGTACTTCAACCTTCTCTACTTGGAACTGCCTTTGAAGACTATTTAGAAACTTCAGTTGGTACAGAATGTGGTGGCTAGTGTGCTGACAGGTAAAAAGCAGTTCAGCAAGGCAACGTCTCTCTTCTGGTCACTGCACTGGCTACTTATAGGTTTCAAAGTGCCCCTTCATACCTGGGGAAGAGTTTCTTCCAGGCTGAAACTGCCCATCAAACACATCTGAGTTGCCAAGGTATACTTTGTGAAGCTAAAAGGGTGGGGACCAGAAAGTGTTTTCTGTTGCTGTGGAACAGTTTGCCCCTGTGGTAAGGATGGCCCCCTCCCTGTTGATGCTTAGGAGGGCATTTTAAAAGATTCTTTTGTGCCAGGCTTTTGAATCTATTGGGCTGCTGTTCTTGTATTTTAGTATGTTTATTTATTAATTTCATCTTTTTTTTTTTTTTTGCAAGTATGTATTTGTGATTTTAATTGTTGTAAGCTCTGTATCCTTTCTAAATCTGTCTGGAAGGATGGGAAGGTCTGAAATTAAATTTAGCAGGAAACAGTATCTTTGTTATTGTAATTGGTTTCTTTGATATTTGCTGACATGTAACCTTTTTAATTATCCCAAACAGTATTGATTACATTTAAAGCCATGACAGTAGCAATTGCATTTTACTGCTCAGGTACCCCTCTGACTAACCCACTGGGAAATATTGAAACAGGATCCAGAGTGAGAAATAATACTGGGCACAGAACTTTTGAAGAACTTTCTTTGGAGGACTGGAGCAATGGGAGTATGTCATATTTTGCAACATTGTGGAGAGGATATTGATAGTTAAAACTTTGTGTCTGGTGGGACCGACAGGGTAGGTGGGAAAAGAGTTACTTAAGCAGATACTGATAATTCAGAAGATACTTTTCTGTGTCTGATGCAAACTATTTGCCTTATCTAAGACAGCATTAGAGGATTAAAACAGTGAAAGAGTGTGGATTCCATACGTTCTCTGTAACTCATTTCCACATTTAGCCATGCATTTTCTTAGTGCTGATGAATTGGGTGGGGAAAAAAACATGTTATTTTTTTTGTATGTCCAGTCTTCAATGAGATGCTTGTTTGCTTCTTCTAAAGAATGGAGAAGATGTGCACATGAAGCTTTGTTGTGGACATTGCCTTTCCATAGGTGATCATTTGAAAACATCAGAGAGGAGCTTCTAAGTTATTTACAACCTGTCTTTACTCAGTCAGCTCTTTTCTGAAAAGGGGATGCCCTTTCACATTCCATCTGGATATGATTTACTCTTTATTAGTCTACTAAAATGTGACAGGCTCACCTACTCTTTTTAAAAGTGTTATTTCCAAGACCATTTTACCACTTCCCTGCAAATAAGATGAAATAAACTTTACTTGACAGTATGACTTACTTAAATATATTCTCAGAGACTTTATACTAATTAATTGCCCTACAGAGCATTTTGTTTTTGAAGATTAATGAAAAGAGTATTAAATAAAGGTATGTCAGTTAACATGCCAGACAATTAAGCTACAATGTGGTGGTGAGTTCCTATAGCAGTTAAACTGATTTGATGAGACTTCAACCAACCAAGGACTATTTATGTATTTATTTCTTGCCCAATGTAGTATTCATGGCTTGTTCCATGTTTGTAGTATCAGACATAAGGCCCAATTCAGAAATTAGTTTACCATCAAGTACAGAAATTGCTGTTAAATGATAATGCAAGAATGTCTAAATCATATGATCATCCATATCAACTTCTATTAGAATATTAATTTATGGGTAGTTTTAATTCTGAAGATTAAAGTTGCCTGAAAAATTAATTGCAGTATGCAGCATGAAAGCTAAATAACTAAAAGTTTTAAAGCAAACTAAATTACTAAAAGTTTTAAAGCCAAGTAGATGATAGTAATTGGGAATGTTATTTCATCATCTTTATTGCCACGGGATATTAGCATTATACTTAATACAAAAAAGGAAATCAACATAATTTCTCATAAAGAGACCTACTAGCCTTTTAGCAGGATATTACTTTTCTGATAAATTTTGTAGATACATTTCTTATTAAAATGGTGAATACAAAGCTGATAGCTTTTGATTAATGAAAGATCTTGATTATCCTGAAACCAAAAGTATAATTATAGGTTGCAATTCCTAATGTCTATTCAAACATTGTGGAAATTAAGTCTGTTTAATTTTCCCTGGCTGTTAAAACAATTATCCTTTTTTTTTGCATGAGTCATTTTAGCCTTTGTCAAGCTAACAACCTCCACATTTGTTGAACCATCTCCAGTCAAAATGTCTGAGATTATGAGATACATTGCTTGATACATTTGGAAGACATTGGACTGAGAAAGTCTTCCTTTTCTGTTAACCGATATAGAATATGTCTTCTATAGCAGATTGGCTGCATGGGAATCTGCCCTACTCTTTCAAGCATTTTGTTCTGCAAATAAGAAAAAGATTTAGATGTCAACTTCAGAGAGTACAGTACTGTATTCTCTGTACTCATGGAAATACAGAGCACTCAATATTTCAGTGCTTTGGAATTCTGTATCAATATATGTGGGTATAGTACTGCAGATTTTTTCCTAAGCAGCAAATGTTAGCAAATGTCCTCATTTTAGACAGTTATTTTCTAACCTATAAATGTTAGAAACAGAAATGTTAGAAAAATCTCTCAATTGCAGCAGGTTAAAAAAAAGAAAGAACGAATAAACATGTTTATAGATTTACTGAGTATGCTGAAAGTGATAACAATTTATATACCTCTCTTAATGCAGAGTACTGTACAGGTAGTCCTTTCGTTATGACCATTCATTCAGCAACCGTTCGAAGTTATGACAGTGCTGAATGAAGGGACTTACGTCAGCTCCTCCTAGTTCCGGCCATTGCAGTGCCCCTGCGGTCACATGAACAAAATTCGAGTGCCTGGCAACGAGCTTGCACTTAACAACCAGCTGCAGTGTCCTGTGATCATGTGATCGCCATTTGTGACCTTCCATGCCGGCTTCCCCAAGCAAAGTCAATAGGAAGCTGGCAAGGAAGGTTGCAAATTGCTAGGGTAAATTCCCCCCCCCCAGGCCTTTCTTTGCTCACATGCACCACACCCTCCTTCTCCCTTTTGCTCACACCCCCCCAAACCCTCTTTCTGTGGCCTCCCTGCACTCGCACACATGCACTCCTACACCCTCTTTCCATGGCCTCTGTGCAATTGCACACACGCACATACATACCCTGTGCCCACTTTCCATGGCCTCCCTGCAATTGCATGCACCCTGCACCCTCTTTCCCTGGGCTTTCTGAGGTTGTGCCACACTGAGCACCCCCTCCCCCAACTCGCATGCAGCCTGTGCTGGACCTACCCAGGGCCTCCCCCACCCCCCTGCAGCAGCCCCACACCTCATGCTCCATACTTGGGATTCCCTCTACTTCTCACTTAATGACCCATGGGTCTTGGGTTATGACAACAACCAGGACTGCCTGGATTGCCGTTGCTAAGCAATGCAGTCATGTGACATTGCACTTTACGACCACATTGCTTAGCGGTGGCAATCCCAGTCCCAATTGCAGTTGTAACTCAAGGACTATCTGTATGGTCAAATATTTATTAATTTAAAAAGATCCACTGTGCATTGTAGTATTTTGCATTACTAGTGTATTTAATATATTTGGAAGTTCTGTTGTGCAAATTATCTCATTGTATTATGTAGCAAAATGTAATTTTTAAAAAATTATAAATTGTATAAATAAATGTTATTTTCTGATGATATTCTAATTAGTCATTGAAATTGGTTTAGCACTGCTTCCTGCTGATGCTAAAATAAGTTGTTGGTTATTTCATATTTTTAATTTTTTTTTTCCAGGTTTGGGATGCTGTGGATGAAGGACGCTGTTTAAAAACATACTCTAACCATACCAGTGCTGTCCGAGCTATTCAGTGGTCCCCCTGTGGAAGAAATGCACTTAGCGGAGGCTTTGATTTTATGCTTCATTTAACAGATATTGAAACAGGTGCTATATACTTAAGTAGTCAGCAGTATAATATAGTTAATATAAATAAATATTATTACGTTTATAATATTTCAGGGGTTGGAAACAGAATACCATCTTCATACTAACTGGAGTATTCTGCTAATTTAAAGAAAAGAACAGTTCACATCCTTTTCAGCTGTAATGTTTATACATCACAAGTTTGGTAAGGTATTTTTAAAAGTTGTTATCTTCTCTAGGCTAGATTATTATTAAAATTGATTTCCACGGGCAGGGACTTTTTGACATGAGTGAGCATTCTGTTATATAGGCCCCATCTATACATTACAGCTGTAACATGTTTAAGATGTTCTGGTTCTGGTTCATAGGTAAGAAGATGTTCTGGTTCATACAGTCAGCCCTTCCATTCCTCTAGGGAAGCCTCAAGATTGCTGGCAGCTCTCCATAATGGTAGAGCAATGTTTTTCAGTCTTGTCCACTTTAAAATGTGTGGACTTTAAAATGTGTGGACAGTATGGTGGCTGGGGAATTCTGGGAGTTGGTCCACACATCTTAAAGTTGCCAAGGTTGAAAAACACGATGGTAGAGGCTTGTAGAGGAGATGGGAGAAGGAAAGGAAGCAGGATATGCATCAGAGTCAAGTCAGCTACACAAAGGCAATGTGAAATGCAGTGATGGGCAAACTAGGGCTGAACAGGGGAGGGAATAAAGCACCAAAGAGGAAAAATATAACAATATTTAAAAATACGAAAACATAAACCTTGCCCCCCCCCCCGCTGTCATCTTGAATGTTTTTAGTATTTCTGTACAGGGTTTGTTGTTTAGATTTGATTTTTAATGGATTATTTATTTAACTATATATGGGGGGATTTTTAATTGTTGATGGGGTTTCTGATTTTAATTGTGAGCCACTGAGAGTCACCAGTTGGGGGGGAGATGGACGGCATACAAATTTAACAATTAAATAAATAAATAAATAAATAAATGAAGAATGAAGAATAAATTAAATAGAATAAAATATCTTCTTAAAATGGTAGTATGTCTGATGTTCCAGAATATGTAAATGCTTCATACAAAGAAGATAGTGTCATATTTATTTATTTTATTAAATTTGTTATTGCTGCCCACTCCAGTGGACTCCAGGTGACTTATAAAATCCAGTGCATGGTTAAAACAGTTAAAAACATAAAATGAGACAGCCCGGACTAAAAACAACCACAACAATAAAAATAGGACAGGGGCTCCACAAACATATTAACCCTAGGCCTGGGAACAGAGCCAGGTTTTAAGGGCTTTCCAAACCCCCAGGAGAGTGGATGCCATCCATATCTCCATGGGGGATGCTGTTCCAAAGGACAGGGGCAGTGACAGAGAAGGAACACTTCCTTGGTCCAACAAGATGACAGTGTTTAATAAAAGGGCCCTGGGGTGTATTCTCTCTGCTCAAGTATACTGGGTGAGCAGAAACAGTTGGAGATAGGGTGTCCCTCAGTTATAGTAAGAAGTGTATTAGCACACATTGCAGTAATATATCATTGAAGTCTTAAAATTTGTAAAGGTAAGTCTCCTTCGACCTTGATTTGTTGTGTCAAAGTCTCCATAAATATGTCCATATAGTTTCCTTAGCAACATTAAGGAACTGGTTCTTCCTCCCACCTCCACCCCTTTTTTTTTTTAACTTGGCAACTGGGCTGGCAGGTTTTCGTTAGCTGGGGAATTCTTGCAGTGGTTTTTAAGATGTGGTGGAGGTTAGGGTTAGGTTTGGAGGTTGTTGGGCTTTTTTGGTTGGTCCTTTTGAGCATTTTGTTAGGACTGTTATTGTCTCAGCTTTGGGTTAATGATGAGGCTGGAGTGCTGAGACCCAGGGTTGGCTTCCTGGCAGATTTAGTTAGGATTGCCTTTGGAGCTGGTACTGGTCATCGGGCATTCCAGGAGAGGCAGCTGCGATGGAGTTGAGATGAACGATAGTTGGGATGAATGGCAATTAGCTGAGAACATGCGCCACCAATCATCTGTTCGGCAGAGTGCTTGTTATGACAGGTCCATGGTAGAAACTGTTCCTAGGCTGATTTGGGAGAGGAGTGGGCAGTGGAGATCAGAGCAGTGGGAACTGATGATGCTGGGGCTGGAGCTGGTAACAAGGAGGAAGAAATGACATTGCACCTAAAGCTGCTGGCTAGCCATTGTGGAATGTTTCTATTAAGCTGCTTGGTGGCAAGCTTTTCTTGATTGCCCTGAAGAAGATTCTTCTCCACATGTTGGTCCCCTTGCTCAGCTGGATGTGACCTGCTCCCATGTCTGGTGGGTGAGCAAGTTGGAGGGTTCTGGCTGACCCTTGGGTTTATGGAGGACTGAGGAAAAAGAATGGTGGCATTGGGCTGCGGTGGGCGTGGGAGCTGGCTGGTAGTTTTTGATGAAGTCCAGCCTGTGTTCTATGCTGTGTAAGATGCCAAGAGGATGGGAGTCATCTTGCTTCATTGACAACTCCTTGTCCAGAAGGGGAAGTCAGTCATTTCATCTGTTCCATACCCCAAAGGTGTCTGATGCTACCAGCATGGCCAGAGCTGCTAGAACATACTGGGCTGCAGAGATTTTGCACTCCTTTGGAGTCTATGTCATTTCTGCACCTTGGAAGATCGATTGGAGCTGGGACTGAATATGTTATTCTGAACATGTTGCACATGGTATTCTTCCTCTTACATACTTTGTCATCTGTCCAGTGCTTCATCAGCTTCAGAAGGAGGATTTTGTTTGGATATTAAGCTAAACAAGGATTAAATTCTTGCTCTTTCAGTTTGGCATGTGTCTGTAATCCAAAACTTTTAAAAGCTCTTAAAAATAAGAGATCTGAGAAGACAAGACATAAGAACATGTATGTCAAGCCCTAGCTATATTTAAGGGACCTGTTTTATTACTCTCACATGCCAGAAAGGGTTTGAAAATTGCAACCTTATCCATCATACTGGCCACCTACACCAAATGGTAGAGCCAGAACTCTAATAGTTGGGGCTACGTTTTGTTTCCTTATTATTCATAATATTTATATATTGTCCTGCTCATTCAAACTTTGAGGGTTGCACAAGAAATAATTAAAAACAAAAGCCAAAACCATTATCAATACCAAAAAGTATATAATTGCTATATGGTACAATTTTTTATTTGATTTGGTTTTCTGAATTTCGCAAAGCTGCAAGTTTTTTCTTCATCAGTAGATGACATTATGGGATTGACAGCTTTTTTCAGTGACATGGTTCCCTCTACTGATATTTTTTGGAAGGGAAAAGACAGAAGAGGTAACTTGGAAAGAAATGGGAAGGGTTGCAGGAGACAGCCCAGAGAGACTGGACAAGAACAGTAAAGGGAGACAAAGGGAGTAGAAAAATGGCTGAGGCACTAAGACATGAAAATAGAGAGAGGGTTGGAGATGAGATGAGAGAAGCAGAGGAGGCAGGAAGTATATCAGTGGCAAAAAAGCTATGAAAAAGCAGCATGAAGTGCAGTGATTGGAAAAGCGGGGGGGGGGCAGAAGGAGAAGATTGGAGGATTTGGGACCCGTAAAAACAGGTTATAGCTCCCACCAGATACCCCACTGGACTGCATCTTTTCCATTCTTAACCTAATGGTAAACAAACCACATATTTTCACAGATATTTCTGTGATAATGCTTCATTCTATATGAAACTCTGAAAGATCCTGAGGCGAATCTTTGTCCCAAATGCTGAGGGCAAGCAAGAAAATTAGATCCTGTGCTTCTTGTAACAGGTTCTCCTCTTAAATCCCACAATTGTGGACTGTTCTCCCTGAAGCATTAGCTTTCAAAAGCATTTTAAAATATTTTTTGTTGATTTTGACCGACTTGTACAAAAATGTGCTGTTTCAGATGTTGGATGATTCCTCAGTATTTAATTTCTACACCTGTGTATATGTTTGTGTGTATGTGTGCATGAGTACACACAACATAAATATCATGATTAGTTTACTCTGAGAATCCCCATCCTCCTCTTTTTGTTTATCATTACCCTGCATTTCTCACAGATATGTCAGTAATGCTTTCAGCAAAAACCAGCTTGTTACCAGAAACCAAACTGGGTACATTCTCACTTGAAAAAAGATGAAGCCACCTGTTTAGATTAGAACTTAATTACAGTTCATTCACCTCTCTTCATTACTCTTCATCAGCACAGAGCTTATTTCATCACTGATTAATTTCATTTAGATGCATTCTAAACTTTGTGAGTAAACTTTTTTGTTGTAAATACTTTTTCATACAGGTTAAGAGGAACTTCCTCGAAAGCAGGTTTGCAAGAAATCTGGCAAATCCCCTCCTCCTGCTTTTTTTTTAAGGTAGTTTCCCCCAACCTAGCACTCTACAAAAATGCTGGTTGGTGATTATGAAAGCGCAACACCTCTAGGTTGGAATGGCTGACTAATGATCCTGTGTTACATGGAAGATATGGCAGCACAATTTTTCTATGCCTTTGGGGAATTTATGAACTTCCAGGTCAGGTAGGGAGAGTCCTTGTTGCCTCTCCTAATTACTTCAGTAATTAATTTTCAGAGAGCTACAATAGATCTCTGTTACTGTTTCTGCCACTACTGGGCTGGATCTTTTAATATTTTCCCAGTAATTTGGAAACGAGCACCTGCCATGCTCAAAACAGGAATGTGATCCACAATAGAGATAATTGAGCCCGAGGAAGAGCAAACTGGGATTAGATGAAGTACAGATAGGTGTATGGCTAAAGGCAGGTGAATGTCTAAGGCAGCAATATTGAATCATAGGGCTATTTGCCACAAGGCATTTTGGATGACATTTTGCTAAGTATTTTTGAGGACAGGTCCTCATAATATTGGCTTCATCTCATCCTCAGCTCACTGCTGAGGCAATGATATTTTTCCTTATTGCCTGACACAAAACTTCCCATGCGGACAATGTAGGACACTAGTTTGCTCAGTTCCAATTTGGCTAGCAAGTCTACTGCAAGTGGACAAGTGCTTGGCCTCTCCATCTTCGTACTGCA